TTTACAAGCCAGCCTCCACGGTCACATCCAAGCATACAATCGGAACATTTCATATTATCACAGCGTTTTTAGTTATTTCACCTGCGAAATAAGTGACCATGGGCCCCAAGAAAGCTTCTAGTGCCAACCCTGTGGTAAAAAGGGTGAGAAATACTATCAAAGTCAGTGCATCATCGAGGACTGTCTAACTTATTTCCATTGGGGTCCTTAATCTTGTCCCCCAGGATGCGACCCACAACAGTTGACTAACACTCAGGTGAACAGGAAAATATGCCTGGAACTAGTGCTCATATTGGTGAGGTTAGTGGGGAGGATGTGGAAGAGTTGGTGGAGGAGGACAATGAAGAACTAACCACTGATGAGCTGCTAGATCATCTTCAACAGCAAGAGGCCAGACCTGAGGAAACTGCTTCGGAGGAGGGGAGAGAGAAATTGAAGAAGTTGCCTACTTCAAAGATTAAGGAAATGTGTGCAATGTGGCTTAAAGTGCAAACCTTTTTTGATAAAAATCACCCTGACACAGCTATTGCAAGCCGTGCTGGTGACTATTACACTGACAATGTTGTGAAACACTTTAGGAAAGTTATAAAGGAACGAGAGGTACAGGCCTCTATGGACAGATATGTGCGACAGAGGTCCAGTGACTCTGAAGCTGGTCCTAGTGGCATTAAAAGAAGAAGGGAAGTAACCCCGGAAAAGGACTTGCTACCTCAAGTCCTAATGGAAGGGGATTCCCCTTCTAAACACTAAGACCATCCACAGTCTCCCCTCCTCCCATCCCATCAATCATCACCAGATCTTCAATAAAGGTAAGTGTCATGTATTGTACATCTCTTTTTCAGTTTGTGTGTATTAAAATTAATATTTCATGTGGTAAAAAAATTTTTTTTCATACTTTGGGGTGTCTTGCACAGATTAATTTGATTTCCATTATTTCTTATGGGGAAAATTAATTCGCCTAACGTTGAGCTCTCAGGAACGGATTAATATCGTTAGGCGAGGGTCCACTGTACTTTCAACAATGCTGGCATACTTGAAGGAAAGAGACCTGATGTGTCACCTTTCACTACAAGCCAGAATCTTTGCTGAGAGGGAGAAAAATAAGGATGATGTCTAAAAGCCAGAGTATCAAAAGTCAAGAGACAGCAGAATAACTGTAATGATTGGTCCATAATTGTAATGACTGGTCCACCATTGAATGTCCTGTGAATGATTTTACGCTGAGTGGGGATGCAGAAGCCAAATGCCCACTAACTGGTAAAGCCAACCCCGGCATATGCAATAATAAACAAACTTGGGAAGAGGAGAAATGGGACTTGACCAAGGTTTCCCTAGATAAATTTCATAAGGCAACTCAGACTGAGAGCAAGGAAAATTGTGGAAAGTTATAGGAAACATAAGCCAGGCATTCAGTGGTGGGTACTGATCAATACTTATTAGACAGTCTGAAGGGAAATTGAGCCACAAGTGTCTACAGAAACACTATGAAACTTCCATTATAGGCATAACACTGCCCCTAGAGATGGCAGGCCCCCTCCAATTTTCCATTTTGTAGTTTATGGAAAGACTGACATAAATATGTATTAAAACAGCACTACACTACCCCACCCCACTGCACTCCAAGGACACATGATGCTAGAAATCTTTGTGCAGTTATAAATAGGATGTAGAAGGTAAAACAAAACAAGTCACCTCTGACTGCCACAGACAAAATACATAGGATCCTTCACTGCATGTTTCTTATATTCACCCTCTAATGACATTTGTAACTGTATATGCAGTCATCCATGGTTTCAGCCCATCACTAATATGGCAAACAACAGTTTGCCATCTGGAGGCACAAGCAAGATAAATGTTTATCATTTCCATCCAACTTCTAACTGGCAGGACAAACTAGCACAGATCCTGAGAAAATGAGAACTAACTAACTTGGTGCTAGGAGAATAAATGTACCGTGGTTGGTTCTGGTTCATAGAGGGGGGAATCAAAAAGGAAAATGGGATGGAGGTAGAGAAAATGGGCTAAATGGTGTAAGGCCATTATGAAAATATTTTACAGAAGACCAGAGGTATGACTGAACTGAGTTCCTTTTTAGATCATGAGAGCCCCAAATGCAGAAACTATCTAACCCTATGCATTTAAATTCAGAAATTTATTTACAAAACATGGGAGATATAATTTTGATAAAAGACACAATATACTTATGAAGTCTATATTACTAGCATTCTAGGCAAGTCTTGCAAATTTCTTGTCTACCCAAATACAGATAAGCACAGATAAGCTGTGGCCTGTTGCATCTGCTAGTGGTTCTAGGGAGAATGACTCGCACAGCTCAATTCCAAACCTGGCTTCCTACGAAAAGGAAATACTATAACATTAAGAAGACAGGAAAGAGAAGTGTATACCAAATACACTCACCGTCTGACTTACGACCTGCACGACATACGACCACTCAACTTACAACCGTGCATCTGGCAGCAGGGCTACCAGACGCATGGTCAGATGCAGTAGTATAATGTGATCCTTTATTGACAACGTTTCGCCCACACAAGTAGAGGTAGTTATACATGTGGTGGAAAAGTCAGCTGGTACATAAGAAAGAAAGGTTACAAAAGCTGTGGCTTGGGTAGCATAAAAAATAGGTTGGGCAAATGTATATGGATGGATGGATTTGAGAAGGCATGTTTCAGTGCCCCTTCTCTATTACACCAGAAAAGAGGAACACTGCAGCAGGCCTATTGGCCCAATCTGGGTATGTCCTTTATGTAGTAGCAATTATGTGATGGCAGGGTTTACTGTTTTCAAGAGGATTCTCGCTAAGACTTCAGAGATGATGACGTGGCCTTTGTTTTGTTTGTGTTAGAAACAGCGATTAATGCTAAAGAAGTATGTGAGATCATTTTTATTTGTAGGGTGGCCGGGTGGCTGGCTGGGTGCTTACTGACTTTGGTTGTCTCAATCTCCATCTGTATCTATCTCTGCCTGTCTCTGTATCGCTGTACTCACCTATTTGTGGTTGCAGGGGTCGAGTCATACCTCCTGGCCCTGCCGTCTATCTCTATCTTTGTCTCTGTTTTTGTCTCTAAGATAAGATTTTAGGTAATTGAGAGTGTGTCCTCTGATCCCATAATGATCTAACTTTTGGTGCAATAGGCCATGGTCAACTGTATCAAAAGCTTATTGTAAGTCTATGAAAAGTCCCAGGAAGAGTTCCTTTTTTCCGAGTGCTGAATATATTATTCGAGCATATGTACAATTGCATCATCGGTACTTTTTTTTGGTCTGAATGCAAACTGACTGGGGTTGAGTATGTTGTGGGATATTAAGTAGGAGTAGACTTGTTTGTGAATTAATTTTTTAAAGATTTTAGATAGTACAGGCAAGTTCGATGTAGGTCTATGTTGTTCAATTCAGTTGGATCACCTCCTTTGAGGATTGGGGTAACCCTTGCTGTCTTGAGTATGGATGGGAAGGTGGAAGATTCAATGAATTTGTTAAAGAGAGTTGCAGTAATTGGTGACAACACATGAGAAGCTTTTTTACACATGAATGGTGGTAAGTTATTTAGGTCTCCTGCCTTGTTCTTTAGTGTTTTGATGACGACCAAGATTTCAGTAGAGTTAGTTGAGGCTAAAAATAGACTATTTGGATAGTTGCCAGTGAGGTATTCTTTTGGTTGAATGTTTGAGTTTGGGATTTTGCTTGCTAGCTTTTTTCCTACAGTCAAAAAGAAGATACTAAGTTTGTTGGCAGTATCAGTTGGTTGGAGGAGAGGTTCTCCTGGTTTCCTTAGGTTGATCATTATGTTTTGTGACATCTTTTTAGATCCTAGAATTTCAGATAAGGCTTTCCAAGTCTTTTTCACATCACCTTTTACGTCATGTAATCTGTTTTCGTAATACAGTTTTTTTGCCATCCTTAGTAGGTTGGTTAGTATTGACGAGTAATGTTTAGCCAGATCCTTAGTTATTAGGCCCATTCTGTACTGTTTTTCATGTAGATCTCTTTTTATCAATAGATTTGAGGATGCTGTTTGTAAGCCAGGGGCTGTTTAGTCTCTTTACTGTGATATGCTTAGATTAGTTATAAAGAAACATTTCTCCAACCTAAGAATAGCGAAGAAAATGAATGAAACAAAGTAAAGGGAATTCCATACAGGTACTGTTTTCAATACACAAATAACCCACATATAAGAGACAGAAAAGCTTATGATGATGTTTCAGTCTAACTTGAACCATTCGTAAGTCAGGGTGACTTGTGAATAGTCCAACTTGAGTCATGATTGCTAGATATCAACCTTGAATTCAAATAAGCAAAAGAAGAAATTAATTACAGCATTCCCATCATAAAAATGCAACACTGAAAAACCAAATGAACAGGAAATAAGTACACCTACCATCCGACTTATGACCTGCTCGACGTATGACCACTCAACTTACGACTGTGTTTTGTATGCCAAATTTCTGGGAAGTAAACAACTGTTTGTGTTGTACACAGTGTTTATCCTAAACCTTACAGTATAAAATACAATACTAACAGCATAAAAAGTAAAGTAAAAAATGAAATACCAAAATAAAACAATAAAGTCATTACACTAATGTGATGATGATATTCAGTAGTAAGGTTCGACTTACAACCGGTTGGTCAGAACCAAGCTCGGTCGTAAGTCGGATGGTACCTGTAACTGTAGACCCAAGACAAGTACTGTATTTCTTTCTTTCTTTAAACACACCGGCCATATCCCACCAAGGCGGGGTGGCCCAAAAGGAAAAACGAAAGTTTCTCCTTTTACATTTAGTAATATATACAGGAGAAGGGGTTACTAGCCCAAATACTGTACATATACATGTATACAATAATCCAAACTGAAAACAACTACAGTGCTAAAAAACAGCTTAACTTAATAGGTAGTTTACTTTTACACTTTAAATATCTTTTTTATACCTTCCACATGATGATTCTACAGGACACAAGAACTGCAAAGTAGCCAAGATAATTACCTAATGTAAATTCTGGAATGGCATCCTTGATTTTGTCTCTGTATGTTATAAGTGAACTTCGGACAGCATCCAGCTCTTCCTGTGTTGGCAGAATACCCTCCAAAAATTTTGTATCTGGTAGAGCCTCTTTCCACTGTTCATAAGTCTGACAGAATTAGCAAAAATACAAATTACTAATAATGATACTTTCCCAGCTGTATGTACATTTCAGAATGAAATTTTTAACCCTTAAACTGTCCAAACGTAGATCTACATTCACGTGCGTAGCGCTCCAACCTTTATTTTCCCCATTTGAAAGCATGTAAAAAAAAAAAAAGTAGATCTACGTTCGGAGCCCCTCACACGTGAACGTAGATCTACGTTAGGACAGTTTAAAGGTTAAACTGCAGTACCTAAAATTTTTGTACAAAATCTAATCTAAGCTTTTCTAAAAAATCTTAAGCAAAAGGTTACGTTTCTGATCAATTACACTTTCTAGTCACAAAATAAAACTTAAATACAGTAGGGCTCCACTTACATGGCAGGTTAGGTTCCAGGCTGCCACCGTAAAGCAGAAATCGCCTTCAAGTGGAACACCTTTTTTTTCCACTTATAAATGCATATAAATGCTAGATAACAGGTTTAAACTAACACATATTAAGTTAGCAATAGAGCTAGGCATTAAAACACAAAATAAAAAGTAAAAAAAAAAAAAAAAACACAGTACACCTGTTACTTACCTTAAAATATTAATACGAATATGTGAGAGGTGAGTGGCAGTCTAAAAGTTTTCCATGTCAGCAATATGTTACTTTATCTGACTTCTTTTAGGTTATCCAAGGTTCTCTACACATATGCTGCTATGTATAATAATCTATGTGACTGTATTTTTTGTATACCTGAAAAAACTCACTAGTGGTTACTGGTGTAGCACTTTCAATTTCCTGCAACACTTTCTCTTTATTGTTATTGTTCAAACTGTACTAATTGTTTGACGAGCCAAACCAAGGGTATGTGCTATCTCAGCCATCGACATACCATATTAGTAAGTTTATTCAAGTATACACAAATATAGTTACACAGATTATCATACATAGTAGCATATGTGTAAAGAACCTAGGTGTTGCGATTTATGCTCGTGCACGGCATTTTATGTATAAGAAATATTCCAGTCAAGTGGTTTCACTTAATATTATATAGCAAACTTCTTCACTAGTAGCTAATTAAAGATTTCTGACTTTATATTATCTGATGCCACATGTATCATGATACTAGGATACTGCTCTTTATTTTTATAATAAATATATATATATATATATATATATATATAAAATATATATATATATATATATATATAAAATATATATATATATTATAAAATATATATATATATAAATATATAAATATATAAATATATATATATATATATATATATATATATATATATATATATATATATTTTATATAAAATATATATATATATATATATATATATATATATATATATATATATTTTTCAACAAGTTGGCCGTCTCCCACCGAGGCAGGGTGACCCAAAAAAGAAAGAAAATCCCCAAAAAGAAAATGCTTTCATCATCATTCAACACTTCCACCACACTCACACATAATCACTGTTTTTGCAGAGGTGCTCAGAATACAACAGTTTAGAAGCATATACGTATAAAGATACACAACATATCCCTCCAAACTGCCAAAAATCCCAAACCCCTCCTTTAAAGTGCAGGCATTGCACTTCCCATTTCCAGGACTCAAGTCTGACTATATGAAAATAACCGGTTTCCCTGAATCCCTTCACTAAATATTACCCTGCTCACACTCCAACAGATCGTCAGGTCCCAAGTACCATTCGTCTCCATTCACTCCTATCTAACACGCTCATGCACGCTTGGGTGGAAGTCCAAGCCCCTTGCCCACAAAACCTCCTTTACCCCCTCTCTCCAACCCTTTCGAGGACGACCCCTACCTCGCCTTCCTTCCCCTATAGATTTATATACTTTCCATGTCATTCTACTTTGATCCATTCTCTCTAAATGACCAAACCACCTCAACAACCCCTCTTCTGTCCTCTGACTAATACTTTTATTAACTCCACACCTTTTCCTAATTTCCACACTCCGAATTTTCTGCATAATATTTACACCACACATTGCCCTTAGACAGGACATCTCCACTGCCTCCAACCGTCTCCTCGCTGCTGCATTTACCACCCAAGCTTCACACCCATATAAGTGTTGGTACTACTATACTTTCATACATTCCCTTCTTTGCCTCCATAGATAACGTTTTTTGACTCCACATATACCTCAACGCACCACTCACCTTTTTTCCTTCATGAATTCTATGATTAACCTCATCCTTCATAAATCCATTCGCCGACACGTCAACTCCCAAGTATCTGAAAACATCACTTCTTCCATACTCTTCCCCCCCAATTTGATATCCAATTTTTTCTTTATCTAAATCATTTGATACCCTCATCACCTTACTCTTTTCTATGTTCACTTACAACTTTCTACCTTTACACACATTCCCAAACTCATCCACTAACCTTTGCAATTTTTCTTTAGAATCTCCCATAAGCACAGTATCATCAGCAAAAAGTAACTGTGTCAATTTTCCCCTTCTGAATTTGATTCCCCATAATTTAATCCCACCCCTCTCCCAAACACCCTAGCATTTACTTCTTTTACAACCCCATCTATAAATATATTAAACAACCATGGTGACATTACACATCCCTGTCTAAGACCTACTTTTACCGGGAAGTAGTCTCCCTCTCTTCTACACACCCTAACCTGAGCCTCACTATCCTCATATAAACTCTTTACAGCATTTAGTAACTTACCACCTATTCCATATACTTGCAACATCTGCCACATTGCTCGTCTATCCACTCTATCATATGCCTTTTCTAAATCTATAAATGCAATTAAAACTTCCCAACCTTTATCTAAATACTGTTCACATATATGCTTCAATGTAAACACTTGATCTACACATCCCCTACCCACTCTGAAACCTCCTTGCTCATCTGCAATCCTACATTCTGTCTTACCTCTAATTCTTTCAATTATAACCCTACCATACACTTTTCCTGGTATACTCAGTTGTTAAATGTTGATGAAGATAGGGAAGCTGTGATTTCGTGTATAGGGCAAGGAGGAATAACATCTTGTAGGAGTGAGGAAGAGCCAGTTGTGAGTGTGGGGGAAGTTCGTGAGGCAGTAGGTAAAATGAAAGGGGGTAAGGCAGCCGGGTTTGATGGGATAAAGATAGAAATATTAAAAGCAGGTGGGGATATAGTTTTGGAGTGGTTGGTGCAATTATTTAATAAATGTATGGAAGAGGGTAAGGTACCTAGGGATTGGCAGAGAGCATGCATGGTTCCTTTGTATAAAGGCAAAGAGGACAAAAGAGAGTGCAAAAATTATAGGGGGATAAGTCTGTTGAGTATACCTGGTAAAGTGTATGGTAGAGTTATTATTGAAAGAATTAAAAGTAAGACGGAGAATAGGATAGCAGATGAACAAGGAGGCTTTAGGAAAGGTAGGGGGTGTGTGGACCAGGTGTTTACAGTGAAACATATAAGTGAACAGTATTTAGATAAGGCTAAAGAGGTCTGTGTGGCATTTATGGATTTGGAAAAGGCGTATGACAGGGTGGATAGGGGGGCAATGTGGCAGATGTTGCAGGTGTATGGTGTAAGAGGTAGGTTACTGAAAGCAGTGACGAGTTTTTACGAGGATAGTGAGGCTCAAGTTAGAGTACATAGGAAAGAGGGAAATTATTTCCCAGTAAAAGTAGGCCTTAGACAAGGATGTGTCATGTCACCCTGGTTGTTTAATATATTTATAAATGGGGTTGTAAGAGAAGTAAATGCAAGGGTCTTGGCAAGAGGAGTGGAGTTAAAAGATAAAGAATCACATATAAAGTGGGACTTGTCACAGTTGCTCTTTGCTGATGACACTGTGCTCTTGGGAGATTCTGAAGAGAAGTTGCAGAGATTGGTGGATGAATTTGGTAGGGTGTGCAAAAGAAGAAAAATTAAAAGTGAATACAGGAAGAGAAAGGGTTATGAGGATAACAAAAAGATTAGGTGATGAAAGATTGGATATCAGATTGAAGGGAGAGATTTTTGGAGGAGGTGAATGTATTCGATATTTGGGAGTGGACGTGTGCAGCGGATGGGTCTATGAAAGATGAGGTGAATCATAGAATTGATGAGGGGAAAAAGGGTGAGTGGTGCACTAAGGAGTCTGTGGAGACAAAGAACTTTGTCCTTGGAGGAAAAAGAGGGGAATGTATGAGAGTATAGTTTTAACCAACGCTTTTATATGGGTGTGAAGCATGGGTGATGAATGTTGCAAAGGGGAGGGGGAAGGCTGGAGGCAGTGGAGATGTCATCTCTGAGGGCAATGTGTGGTGTGAATATAATGCAGAGAATTGTAGTTTTGGGAAATTAGGAGGGGGTGCGGGATTACCAAAACTGTTGTCCAGAGGGCTGAGGAAGGTTGTTGAGGGGGTTCGGACATGTAGAGAGAATGGAGCGAAACAGAGTGACTTCAAGAGTGTATCAGTCTGTAGTGGAAGGAAGGCGGGGTAGGGGTTGGCCAAGGAAAGGTTGGAGGGAGGGGGTAAAGGAGGTCTTGTGTGCGAGGGGGTTGGACTTCCAGCAGGCATGCGCGAGCGTGTTTGATAGGAGTGAATGGAGACAAATGGTTTTTAATACTTGACGTGCTGTTTGGGGTGTGAGCAAAGTAACATTTATGAAGGGGTTCAGGGAAACCGGCAGGCCGGACTTGAGTCCTGGAGATGGGAAGTACAGTGTGCCTGCACTCTGAAGGACGGGTGTTAATGTTGCAGTTTAAAAACTGTAGTGTAAAGCACCCTTCTGGCAAGACAGTGATGGAGTGAATGATGGTGAAAGTTTTTCTTTTTCGGGCCACCCTGCCTTGGTGGGAATCGGCCAGTGTGATAATAATAATAATAAAAATATATATATATGTATGTCGTTCCGAATAGGCAGAACTTGCCATCTTGGCTGAAACAGCAACACTCATCTTGCCATATAGGACAAGTGAAAGTTTGTGTATCCAATAATTTCGGCAAAATCATTCTGAACCTAAAAAAAAAAAATATTTTGAT